CTGCCAATAGACCACATTGTCTGACTCTCGTTCTGGCCCTGAAATTCTGATTAGGAGGCAATTCTTTTTGCCACCTGCCCTGGTACCTTTGATTTTACACCTTGCATAAGTCATCAGCTGTTCTAGAAAGGATCAGATAGTGATCACCATTGTTACAGTGCCTTTCTAGTCTCTATGTCCTGGCAAAACTTACAGTCACTGATAGCAATCTGCTCATCTCAATATCCTGTGGGAAACTGTACATCACATAGGAGCCAGCAATGGCTCTTTTTACTCTTGGAAAATGACACAATCCAGAGTTACTAGAACTCCTATTTTCTTTTTCCCTGCTCTCTTTTTTTTTTTTTTTTTTTTTTTTTTTTTTTAATGTTCCCTGTTAAAATGAAGAAACTGAGCCACATATTTTTAATAATGAGAATCTGGATGAGGTTCAAACTAAATTTTGAAAATATATTCCAATTAAAGACTTTAATAGATTCTTGGCTTTCCCCACATCTCATTGCCATGTGCATTCAATAATCCCAAGCCCCCTTTTTCCCTAGTAATAAGTAGACTGCAGAGGGGGTGACATCATTCTCCAGAAGGTCAGCCCCTCCTGGACTGCCATTTTCTGAACATTTTTTGCAAAGTGTTTTTTCAAGAGGACTTTTCCTTTTTCAAACTGGCTGCAGATCTGTGATTGTATCAAACACGGTGCTTATCCTTGTAAAACTGCAGTGACTTTTGGATTGCGTGCTCCAAAAGAGAGGTTTTGTACTTAGGTCAGAGGGTTTCACTGACAGAAATGGCATGTTCTTCTCCTTGGTAGAACAATACAGTGACCATTCAGGTCACAGACCTGCAGAGACTTACTGATGTGCTTTATGACTACACGTACAAATAATGCTCTGAACTGCTGGAGTCAGCCGCACCAGACATCTGTGTGACTGGTCGTAATATCAGGCTCTCCCGTTTGTATGACAGCTGAAACCTATCATTGCGTAGATTAGAAAGTTATTTAATCCCTGTATGAAACAGCTGCATCCAGCGCGCCGAGTAGTGATTTGGTGTGTCATTGTGGCCCTTGCTTATCATACAGCTTGGGCCAAACAGATGAGCAAAGCACTAGGATGCATGTTGAATGGGAGAAAGGATAGTGTGGAAAAAATTATAATACCTTTAGATAATTGTATCATGTGGATGCATCTGGAATACTCTGTGCAGACTTGTTTTTAAAGAAACAGTTAAGGACCTGGAAAACTTCCCACTTGAAAATAAATGACTGGCACTATTCATTGTGAGGAGCACAGAAGAAGGATATAAAAACCTATAAAAAAATTAATTGTATGAAGGAGATGGATGAAGTGGAACTTCTGTTCTCCTTATCTTATAACATCCCACAAAAAGGGATGAATGTTCAGTTAGAGTAGAAAAATCAAAGCCACCATAATAAAGAATATTCCACACAGTTTTGTCATAAAAATACAGAAATCACAGTCAGAAGAGTCTGTCAAGGGTGGGTGACACAAAGCTACCACGTATTCTTCTCTCTGCAAGATAGCATAGGCCGTAAATATTCAGTACTTGATCTTATTTTTTATTAACTATGCAAACTGAACTTTCATTCTCAGTTACCTTATCCAGCCAACAAATCATTCTACTTTTTTTTCCTAAATCCTCTTCAATTTCTTTCCACACTTTAAAAATACATGCAGTAGAAGACTACATTTTCATGTCAGTTTACAGCTAGGAAATTGTCTCCCCACTGCTTACCACTATTTTTTTTCTACGCCAGAGATTTCACGTCCCTTTTCATTACAGTACGACAAACACTGTCCCTTGCATGTGTAGTGGCTTATCCACTGATACCTCCAAGTTCCTGCCAGTGCTAACACTTTCCAGCACACTTGGTGGGTGTGTATGTCCTATATTTTGTTCCTAGACACATGATACTGTCTCTGGCTGAACTAAAAGCCATGCTTTGTTTGAATGCATGCAGGTTACCAAGCAATCTCTACTGGTCTTCATACCTTTGTCTCCATCATTGTTGACCACTTTGCAGTCTTCATAATATTTGTACCTATTAACAACTGCACTAATTCATTTAGTTATGGGCAAGATAGTACTGGAACCAGTCTCTGCAGAGCAACACTGGGACTGTCCTTACTGGATGTTGTTTTCACATTTATCACATCAGCTTTGAGATCAGTCAGCTACTCATTTCTTAATACACGATAATGCTAACATTTCCAAGCTGGCACATGTGGCAGTAAGATGAACACCCTCCAAAAATCCATCACACCTATACAGCTATTTCTATCAGTCAAATCTCTGACTTAACCAAATAATTCAGTTGAATTTGCTTGACAAAACTGTTTTGGAAAAGGCAGATAACATTTTTATTCCATGAAAAAAATTACAAAGTGACAAAAGAAAAGCTAAGAATCCATAGCACAAAAAAATCCAGCTGGAAAGCAGCAAAAGCACCATATTTATACTGCTGAAGTCCCAAGCTTCTGCCCTAGAAAGCATCATTGTTTCTACCACAGTAAGTGGGATTCATGTCTGGAAAATCAAGGCTGAATTCCACAGTTCCTACAGGGGATCTGTTCCAGCAGTTCACTATACTTCATATCACTGGAGCCTATTCCTTTTTACCTATCCACCACAGACAGCATCTTATTTCAGTGCTGTTATGTACTCGCTTCCTCCTCGCCAGGCTGAACAACCATAACTCTCCTCTCATCAATGATGTTTCTTCCTAGGCATGTGGCTACTTTTACTCTCTCATTTTGTCTCTCATCTAGTCGCAAAAACCTCTTGTAGCCCCAGTGCAGTTTCCCAACTAACAATTCAAGGGATAAAATGGAGGCTTGCAATTCTTCAAGTGTTTATTCAGAAATGTCACACATTCACCCAGCTTTGGAGACAACAGCATGATCTAGAATTAAAGTGTCTGTTTATTACAATAATACACTGAAAACTTCTAATTAATATTTATTAATTATAAATATGCTGGGCTATGAGACAACAGCATGCAGCTCAGAGCACTGAAGCTTCAGATAGGAGAGAGGAGTAGGGTCCCAGGCAAGTTTCTAACATGAAAACACTGGCTAAGGATCTGAGGTGCAATAGCTTATGTTGAAGTCAGCTGTTAAACACCAGTGATTTACTCACCTGTCACACAATTCATGTGCTTGAAAGCAGGGAGATGAAGACATACTGACACTGTACATCCTGGTCATCTTAGGTTTGGAGAGGAGAATAACATGTGGCTTAAAGCCACCTCAGCGTTTCTTGCTCTTTCTGCCAGCAAGTCCAAGGCCTTCAGGTCAGCATATTTGTGCTGGCCCTTGGGGGTTGTCCCAGCAGCCAGAAACTAAAATAGAATGTGTTTGTACCTTGGCTTTGCACCTATCGCTGAGACCAGGGGTCAGCTTGTTACAGCAACCACTGGAGAGGTGAGGACTATGATGGAGAGAATATTTCTCATTTATTATCCTGAGGTTGTTTCACACAGCTAAATGTAGAGCTCACGAGCACTGTTTTGCAGTGAGTTTTAAGTTTTGAGACCGACCTGTGTACAAGACGTTAGTTAAGGGCTGCCCTAAACCTAATGGTCTGTGGTGCAGTGGTGGTGGTCTGCACAGAGCCGGCTGGTCACAGGGTACTGGCTTGCTTCCTGGTTTTTCAGCTGCCAAACTATATTAAAACAAGCTAAAAATACATTAAATATTTTCCTTTCCTAATATTACCTTACCACGTAAGCAATAGCTGGACTTGCCACTAGGATGTTATCTGATAAGCAACGGGAGGGGAGGTATGCGAGCCCGAATAGGGGGCGAGGCAGAGGAGGGAGGCTGTTTCAGCGACCGTGACCAGGAGGAGAGGTTATTATGTTTCTATTTAGGTGGCTGATGAAAACATTTCTGAATCCTTGTTTTAACTCATCTCTGACCACATGCCTTACTGCAAGTGCTGCTCAACACACGCCTCTGAGCTTGTGCAAAACCTCTCCTACACTGTGGTGGGCAGCCCCGGCAGCCACTGCTGCTGCCCTCCATCTGGAGGAAGACCACGTCATCCCCAGATGGATTTGAGGTCTAGAGGGAAGTTTCTGGGGTCATGTCAAGCTCAAATGTGAGAGGCTGGAGAATCTGCTACACAGTGCATGTATTTGGTTTGGATTGTTTAAAGTCACAGGTGTCACATTCGAACATGACTTTGGATTTTTTTATTTTCTTGCATTTATATTGGAATAAAAAAGTACCAGGTTTTCCTGATACCTCTCTTCCCAGTGATCACTGTGTTTTTAACTGGAAATAACTGCAATGAAGCGAATGGGGAAGTCCTTTCGTGCAAAAAAAATTAGTAACGCAGCCTGAAACTGGAGATGAAAGCCCTACTTAACAAATGAGAGATGTAAAGGGCAGAAGCTATGAAAAGACACAGCATGAACAAGCGGAAAATACTTGGCCTGCGCAATAATTCTTCCCAGCTTCATGCTAACAGAAACTCTCTCCAGCAAGGCCACCGGGTTTTGAAAGCAAGGCAGCATGATTCCGGAGGGAGGCACATTTCTGGTCTCCTAAAGCTTCCAGAGGAGACATGCCCCTTCCCCTTGTGTTGCCACACAAATGGCAAATTCTAACTGTAAATGGAGAAAAATGTGTCTGACATTCTGGAATGTTTCCTCAGTCTCTATGCTCCCTTCACACTTAATTCATTCACACTTGAGCTGGTTCTCCCAGCCCTGTGCTCCTTCCTCTTCCTCCTTCTAGGTCTTTGGTGCACTAGGGACAACAGGGAGATGAAGTGGCTGCACTGCACCTCATAAGGCACAGTCTGTCCACCATTTCCATCTGTTTTCTCTGTTCAGTGCCCTTTCACAGCAGTCAAGAGCTCAATGAGATGCATGAACCACCCCTCAGCTGCCAGACGCACAGCAGAGCGTGATGCTGCTCTTACACCCTCTTCTCCTGCTCTTTCCACAGCTGTTTCCCTGCCCTTTGTATGCTCACCTTGCTGCTTCTGCATGGTAGTGAAGTCTTCGAAGGTGAGAGTGCGCACGGGGGGCCTCCAGAAGGCATAGGTCTCCATAATGGCCTCAAGCCCCGTCCTGTGCAATGAAAATAAAACAAGGAGAGAAGAATGTCAGTCAGCTGGCAAGTGTATCAGTACTGGGGCAAGAGGGCTCTGACCTCACTTGACAGGCTGCCAGCGGCCACTGAAAGGTCACCTTGGCATCTGTGAATTCCTCAAGTGAGCCTTCCCACACAGGTGCTAGCCACTAGAGTAAAATGAAATTTCCCCATCCCAGGATTTCAAAAGCTCCTAATAGTCTTCCAGCACTTCTGGTTTTTTAACAAGGATCCCAGAGTTTCTGTATGCTTTGCAGGGAACATATGACCATCAACTCCTCAAGGCATGCTTTATCGAAGAACAGGGTTCCACACTTAGTGGATGCAAGCTGTGATGCAAACGAGGGAGGTCTGGGATTCAGCTTCCAGAATCAGAGAGATTTTTTCAGTTACCTTTCATTTCCCTACCACCTCCTCGTTCTGGACACTGCTTTGAAGTGCTATAGGAAACTGTCCAAAATGGATTCTCCTTGGTTTTTGACTTCAACTAGAAATGCATAAGAGGTTTTTTTATAAAAGATCAGTGGCATCTCTGCTTTGGGGTCCTAACTCACTGCAAATACAGTACAAAAGCAAAAAAGCAAAAATCAAGTGAGAACTTTTCCTTTGGAAGGGCTGGGGTCTCAGATTTGTTCTTATTTTCACCACAGAATGCTAGCTCTGCCAAAAGTCTAACTGCACAGGCTCAGTGAAGACATAGGTGCATTATCAGGGAAAGACCCTCATGTTCTTTACGAGACAACCCACTGGAGGTTCTTCCCAGGAAAGGATCTCCTCTGTGGAAGCTGCATATTGCTCTGTTCCCCATTCCTCACCTTCCCTTGCTTCTTTTCCAGCAGTAAGTTACATCCCTCGCACTGACCAAACATGACTAGATATGCTTCATCAAATGTGAGAACATATCCCCTTTCAATGCAAAAGGCTCTAACATCCCCAGACCCTCTTGTCAGATGTTGAGCTGATACTGGAGCTGCCTTTTGCTTCTGAAAATGTCTTTCTGCACGTGCCTCCACTCACTCAGTTAACTTTCCAAAGTCTCCCCGGAAGCTCAGATGCTTTAAATACATTGGAGTTGGCAAACCAAACTCTGTATTTTAAGAGGAGGTTTAGAAGAGAGGTTGTTGCATGGTGTTTATTAGCTGCTAAGCTGTTAGAAGTAGAAACAGAAGACATCTCTGCATAGCAGTCTCACACTAGTGCTGAGCACATTACAACAAAACTATTTGGTTAATACAGTGGCCTCTGCCAGCTCATGGAGCTCTGAGAAAACAAGGCAGTGCAGAATGTGAACCCAAATGCTAAACTGGGCTCTGTGTGCAAAAGCAGCTCTTCGACTATCAGTATCACCTCGAGGATTTTCTCCACTCCCTGTGTGAGAAAGCCAAAAACGCTCAGACTCCATCTGCTTCTCAACACATTCAGTTGGGAAGAGAATGGTACCTTTTTGCAGCCTCATAAATGATCCCTAGCTGGAACACTGAGGGCTACCTCTGCTACCATATACCCAGGGGGCATAAAATGCCCTGAGGGAGTCACAAAGCAACAAAACCTACTGTTGAAAGGACTCGCCTTGATGATTAAAACCAAGTAATACATCCAGAAATGCAGACTGAAAGTTCCAGCTGTGCTAGTCCAGCTGCTCTCTGTCTGCCACAAGGATCGTGCAGGCAAGTAGGGAGGTCAGCTCACTAAAACCAGTGTTCACACAGGCTGGCTCAGTCAGTAGATCCCCGTGCACATAACCCCACTCTGCACCAGCATCTGACTTTTAGCTCTGCACTCATGACTCCCTTCCAGTAAAACCCAGCCCCTAACAGGAGGTGGCTCAGCGAAACTGTAAAGGCAGGTTAAAGCTGTTACCCCTGCCTCTTCCTGGAGCCTGCATCATTCTCAGCTCAGCTTGACTCAGTTCAAAGTTTCGAGCTTTCTGTCTACCGCTTTCCCCTGTATCAATACAGTTCTAGCAAGTACCCTATAATTGTACTTCTAAAAGAAAAGAGGAAAGGAATAGTCAGGAGATAATAAAAAGAAGAAATAAAAGAGTAAATCAGGAATAATATACTGCTTGCAGGGGCTGGACCACTGTGCCTGTGAGCCCACAGAGGGTATATAGCAGCACAAAGTGTAGCAGAGCAGCTTTGCCCTGTATGTCAGGGAAAGGAGGGATGCCACCAGGGACCCACCTCCTCCTGCTCCAGGGGAGCAGTTCTAGAACAGCCCCTTTGCTGTCGACACGGCTCCTGTCACCCTCCTCTTTCCACACTGCAACTGCTGGCAGCAGCACTGTGGCTTCATGGTATTCACAGATTGCCCTGTAATGCTCCAGTCAGCTCTGCAGCCACAGGTGCCTGAAGAATGGATCCAAACTCCATAGTTGGCCTAAAGCCACCTCTTTCCTCTTCCTGCCCCAGATGAGAGTTCCTTACTCCCCCAGAGGTGTGCACATGTTGAACATACATTATAAAACACCCTTGCTATGCATGTGGGTGACAGAGCTCAGTTATACCTATACACAAATTTAGGTCCCCGTATGATCATCCTTTTTTTCCTCATTTATTGTTTTGGTTTATTTGGGTTTGGGTTTTTTTTAAATCTTTGTGCAGAACAAATTTTGTGAGTGTTTCTGAAATATTATATAATAGTGTCTATCCTTACTGAACTTTCAGACTCTTCCATGCATCAGACAAGATCTGTGAAGCAGCAGCCTCTTGTGCTAACCTGCTAGGCACCTACCACCCCATGTACAGAGAATTGCAGAAAAAAATGTGCAGTCATGCAAAACCATCTTGGGTCAGAATATGCACCACCTTTCCATTACTGATTTTATAACTCTATCCCTAATCTTTCAACATTTTTTCTTCTTCTTCCTGTGATGTATTCTTATGTTTGTAAAAAAATGGTGGGGCGAGGTGGCAGGAATCAAGAGACTCCATCACTGTCAACTCCAACAACCCTCTTTATGACATTAGTGTGGTACCAAGACATCCAGAGCCACATCACAGACCTCCACCACAGGACATAAAGGTAATGTTCTAGTCAGTAGAAATATTGGAGTGCTATTCTGTGTGTGTTCAAGCCCCTAACAGGGAAAAAAACACAACCCACCTGGCCAATGGAGAGACATTTTGAGACAGCAATAAACACTGACAAAAAAATCATTTCTGAAATCTCAGCAACTCTTTTTGGGCTTTGGTGAGGGCTGCTGGTACCTAGTGTGCTGAACATTATCCATGTGGCATCCACTTTCTTTTCCAAAGAATTGCACTGAAAAATTTACTTCAAACTGTCTATCAGGCCATAAACCCTCCCCTCTCACACCATCTTTATGAAGGAAGTAAAAAAAAGTATCAGAAGAGGACTCACTGCCAGCTTTATTTTAATAAGGTCAGCCCTTTAAAAGGTATCCAAAATTTGCTTTCTCTTTTTCATTCATTTTTTTTATTTTTAGTGCTATAAAGTTTTAATAATAGGCAATAAATGAAACAGTTCCATTGTCTGAAAAATGAAAAAAGATGTACGAGCTATCTGTGCACCCCCATAATCCATCCCATATGGCTGACCTTGCCATTCCCCCCGCATGCAGGATTCAGGTCATCGTTTCATTGTTCAATGGGGAAGCCAAACTATCGGCTCCAAGCACCCTCCTGGCTCTCTTACCCTAGACAAAAGCTCAAAGAGCATTTCCAACACAAACAACTTTTATCCACCTCAGCTACCCACATCTGAAAGGAAAGTGCTGTTGCTTGCCTTCAGCTTAGGTTTTTTTTCTTCTCTCACCCTGCTGGGTTTCCTGATGGTTGTCCCTTCTGGCTTCCTCCTGGATAAGGAGCTCCCACAAGCATCCCACTGTCAAGTGAACTTTACTCAGTCTCCAAAAATAGGCCCTGTGGCATTAAACCTGCACCCTCACTACCCAAACGTTTGACTAGCTGAGCTCCACGTGTCAGAAACTCTGGTTCTCAATCTTTTGAAGTTCAGGAAAGCAACTAAGTATTACCTGCCTCATACGTACATTACATAGGTATCCTTTCACCACTAGGACCTGTTCTCTGTTTCACTTTTACAGATGCTTCACAGTGTTTTGTAGATAAAGCAAAGAGGGACCAAAAATCATGTAGAGGGAATCTCTAGTAAGTGGGAACTAAGACTTGGCCTTCTAACACAGGCTAACCCATCGAGGCTAATGGTTAAATTGCTGAATACCATTAGTTAACATAGCTTGAGTGCTCATGGACTGCAAAACAACATCCAGCTGCTGAGCTATTTGTGTCCTTCCCTCTGAAATGCCTCACTGTTCCTTCTCCCAGCACAGGGACTGAGACAGTCAGCTGTGAAGGGAGACAACCCTGCAAACAACTGAAGGAGATCCAAGAAGGGATCTGTGAAAAGATCGCTCCCCCAGATGGATACAGGCAGGTATATTGTGATGGGGTGTCTCAGAGCAGCAGGTTTCTAGCGGTCTCTTGTACTAATGAAGGGAGACCACAGTCATAAGGAACCATATGGGAAGGCTGCGAGCTGATGGAAGTGACAGATTTAAAAGGGAAACTAGTTTTAAAAACAACGATCAATCCCATAATTTCTGCAGCAGGCAACAACAGTGAAACAGTATCAGAATAAGAAAAAAGTGAAGGAAAAACATCCCCCTGTCCTTTTTCATGGAAAAGCCTTAACACAAAGCAGAAAAGAAATGTCCTAGGGAAGAAGTGGCCTAAGAGTTCCTCTTACCACACCATGCTCCGGTTTTTCCAGTGTTGGGATGTTGGGTTTTTTTCCTCCATCATTTGCTGACACACTCTAATGATGGCTCTGATTCAGTATCCCAGTGTCTTTGGGATACAATGCCCTGGAGCAGCCTCAGATGTTCTGTGGCTCCTGCTGCTACCACACTTTTTTTTTATTTTAAAACCTTATACAGAAAACCCTTTGGACATACCCTACACTTCCCTGCTTCACCAATAGCCCCTTTTTCAAATTATCCTGTTTCTTTTTCAAAGGAGGCCTACATTTTCAGAAGGATATTCTTCAGCTACATCCTGATGCACAGAAGCTGACCAAAGTTGTTGTGAGGATGTGGGAAGCTACAGAGCATCACGATCATCAAACAGGCTGACCACTGATCTTGATGAGATTACAAAGTCACAAGGGGAAGAGAAGTCAGACAGCACAGTTAAGAAAAGTCCCTTTTGGAGAGTCCTTTCCACACACAGCTTGGACCTTAATGGTTTTCTCCCTCCTGTGGGTACATCTATGTGTATGTCCTCTTTAAAGGGAGCAGCTGAGCCTTAGAGTGTCCTCCACCAGTTGACAACAGTGATGCAACCTTAGCCAGACCACTGCTTGTGAGGCAGGCGCCTGACTGCTATATACGCTTGCAAATACCTTTCCCTGTTTTTTCTTCCTAAAGCCTCAGGCTGCTCTCTTTGATGTGTAATACCTTAAAGATTTTAATTCCTCTTTACATCAGCAGAGAGCCTTACTGAGCCCTCCCCACAGCTGCAGTGGTGTAGCAATTTCCTGCCCTTTCTTAAATCAATGAGCTACAAAGATCAGTAATTCCCAGCCTTTTCAGGAAACTGTCCAAATTCACTGGGCTGGGACCTTATTAATGCCTTCCATGTTAATCTAGCCCACCATGTATCTGGAACTGCATCAATCCATCTTCTAAGCCTAGCCTCCAGTGCAGCTATATCTGCACACAGGGAAGACCTTGTACCCGGGGCACATACTACTTCCTCCATGCAGGAGAGGAGAGCAGAGTAAAAGTCTGGTGAAGGGTCTGGAGCACAAGTCTTACAAGTAGCGGCTGAGGGAACTGGGGTTTTTTAGCCTGGAGAAAAGGAGGCTGAGGGGAGACCTTCTCACTCTCTACAACTGCCTGAAAGGAGGCTGTAGCAAGGTGGGGGTCAGTCTCTTCTCCCAAGTAACAAGTGACAGGAAAAGAGAAAATGGCCTCAAGTTACGCCAGGGGAGGTTTAGATTGAATATTAGGAAAAACTTCTTCACTGAAAGGGCTGTCAAGCATTGGAACAGGCTGCCCAGGAAAGAATCTGATTCACCATCCCTCAAGGTATTCAAAAGACGTGTAGATGTGATGCTTAAGGACATGGTTTAGTGGTGGACTTGGCAGTGTTAGGTTTTCAGTTGGACTCAATGATCTTAAAGGTCTTTTTCAACCAAAACAATTCTGTGATTCTGTGAGTCACATATGCTTCAAGTATCAGAACTAACACAGCAGAAATTAAATAAGGGCGGTAACATCTTTTTACATAGCTACAGTAAGATGAGAACAGAGGAGGTGAGCTAGGAAGCCACTGGGTCAGTAAGATGTCTTCTTTGTGATCATGAGGAGTGCAGCATTTAAACGGGTGATGGGAAACACGGGGCAGTTTCCCATCCACTGAACACTTCCTGTGCCAAACAGTGAAAGAGGTAGCGGTCCTGGTGTATGCACACAAGAGGAGCATGCAAGTAAAAACTGAATTACAGTGCCCATGGGGACAGCAAATGAGGGTACACACATGACTCACTCTGGTCTGCATGCTCAGAGCCTTGCTTTACAACCCTAGGGTTCTTGTAACATAGTCATATATGTCTAATGCTATAATTAATTTAATATTTAAAGCCTTTGTCACACTGATTTAAAGGATATCCACATCATTTAGCTCTGAAATATTTAGATCTGCTGCACACTCTGCTGGATTCACGAATGGTAGAAATTGTTGAAACTTTTTGTTTGGACTTTTTTATTCTTTTTTGATAACTCTGTAATATCTTTTACTAATGCAAAAGTTTTTTTATTAAAGTTTCTGTTTTACTATTGTGTTATTAAAATATAACGTATTCTATATTATGTTCCAGGTGTCCTACTTAATCTTTTCATAAAAATCCTGACAAAATTAAGCGACACAAAGTGAAACAATTTTACACCACTGGAGGAAAACTGAAATTGTTTGAAACTAGAACATGCTTGCACTTTTATCCTGCAATATCAGAAACTAAATTTTTCTTTGAATGTAAAGCAAGCATTTGTGCTCCAAGTTTTGGAATTTCCTGTGAAAATTAAAATGTAAAAATGCCCTTCAGTCAGTTCTACATATGCTAAAGAACAAGCAAAACTGTCTACAGCTTTCATTGTTTTTCAGAGTGTTAGCTAGCCTGTGACCTATTTGTCTGTTTTTCAATCTGTAGTTCTCTTTTTTTCCATCTCTGTTCTTCATTTTAGGTTTTGTTTGGGTTTTTTTTAAGAAACTCTATGGTATCTTTACAAGTTCATTTATTTTACCTAATTCTTTGGATATCATGGCACCATATCAGTAATACATTAACAGTTTACTAATAACTTACAAGAGATGATAAAGAATATTTTAATTGTTTCTCAACAACAAATGGAAAAGCTCAGAGGACCTTGAAAATAATAGAAATTAGCATAAATAAATTAATTATGCAGCAAGAAAAAAACCAACAGCAAAATGTTTATGCAGAAGAAAACAGCCTTGAAAGTAGAGGTGACAGAAGGGGTACTGAGGTGGCTGTGAAAAGGAAATTGTATTTTTTTGCTGTCGTATGAAATGTTGTCAGGTAGGAAAGTGATAAGCTGTCTTTACAGATATGTTGTCTAAGAACAACTAAAACCCTCTGTCAGGGTTTGGGACTGCAGGATCCAGGCAGATGTAGGAGCAGCACTGGAGGAGACTTCTGAAAAGAAGCAGGGTGAGTCTACGTGGCTAACCTGGAAAGTATTTTCTAAGGAAGCCATCATTATACATTGGATCTGTTTAGGCAAAGTAAAACAATCTTTCTAATTTCTCTAAGAGCTAGGCTACAGCATACTTCTGTAAAAATGAATTAGGATCACAAAACACCTTCCTCAGCCTTAGACACATGCCCTGTGCACTCATTAGGTGAAGGAGAGAAGAGAGCAGTGAGGAAACACAAACAAAGCTCCTCTTACCTGTTTCTCCCAGAATCTCTGAAACCTTTAGCAAAGGGGTTTCTGTCAATTTTTAATCTGGTGATCTACAAAGGAAGAAAAAGAGAATTAGTTGAGCTCTCCAGATTTTTTTCTTTCAACAAATTAAAATTACTGATGATTACCACCTGTACAACTATCTTTTGTACTTATTTCCCCAGACTTATATTAAAGTTGCCCTTCCGTTATCCATGAACAGATTATCTGCTTAGCAAACGAACAGTGCCAGTGGCAGAAATTTGCCAGTATTGAGAAACTTGGCACAGCACTGAGGCTGAGAAGCTGTTCATGAAAGAGAAGCACACCTTGGACCCCGGCACAAAACCCCAGGAGCTGTAATTCATCAATGGTCATGTGGTTCAGGAAGCAGGCATACTGATCAAGTTTGGCTGGTATCTGGGTTATTCCAGCCTCAACATGCTAGATATCCAGCAGCTGGATGCACTCATGGATCTTCAAACAGTGCTAAGGAGAAAAGGCCAAGCAAAACTCAGGCTATAGCCTCCAAAGATGGCAGCTGGCCACCCGGTCATGTACACAAGGTGCTGCTGTGCTGGTCAGCATCTGGGTGGCCCTTCAAGGGTTTCCTGGCCTGGAAATCTTTTTTTTGTTTGTTTGTTTTTCCTTCCTCTAAACAAAGAGGATGATAGCCAGACTGAGTGCTTTTGGAGAATCTTCCTTCATGCTTTATTTTTAGACATTAATTCCATGTTGAAAAATATGGAAAATAATATTGAGATTTTGACCTTGCAGCCCAGGGTATCATACTCCCTGTCTGCTATTCCCAAACCTCGTGTAGCACGAGACCTTCCTTCTGCCAGCCTTGCCTTGTGCTAGAGACCCTGTCTCTGAAGTGAAGAGATAGCAAGATCCCCAGATCCTATCATATTTGAGGTGTTTTTGCTGAAACTGCTCAAAAGGGACTAGTTTAATACAGAGTGATCTGAAGCGGATTTGCAGGTGTTTTGCTTCTGTCAGAACCAAGCCCTTACTCTGGATATTAACCTCAGATCTGGAATGCAGCTCCTATTTTTGCAGAAGCTTAATTTGTGAACTTAATTTCCGCTAGCCTGACTTTGCAGCTGTCCTGGGACTTGTGTGTACAGAGACAGATATGTTCTGTGGAGGATGGAATTACAGCAGAGGGAATCCCTGTGGTGGATTTGCTAACATTTTACAATTGTTTCCAGAAACACTTCTCCCAGTAAGGCAAAGTTTTACAGCCACTGGAGGGCATGCAGGCAGATTCTGGGTGTTTAAATTTATTTTTTATGAAAAGGTTTCTCCAACCCATCAGAATCTCCTTTACTTGTATTATAAAAATACACTCCCCAATTTTGGAGGGGAAAAATGACCAAATGTTTGGAATTCAGAAAGACATGAAGACATCTCAGTGTCTCTTTACTGTGAGGTGGTTTACAGAGCCAGTGCCTGACAGAAATCCCTCCCTTAGCACCTCCCTTACCTGCATAATTATGTCTTATAGGTCTTGTCATTAAGGAAGAACAGCAGGCTTCTTTCCTGTCATTTCTTCCCCTTTCTCCATCCTCTTTTCATGTCTGGTCTACAGTTAGAAGTTTGTGGAGTGTATGTATTTGGGCGATGAGGACGGGAAATTTCAAATGCTGCAATGGCAGCAAACCCACCATCGTGTTTCAGTATTTTTTCCTCTGGAATAGCCAATCCATTTTGGGTCCCGATTTAAGTGAATTCAAGGGGACCAGACAGAGAAAAAGTCAGGAATAGGTATCCAGAAGCAGTCATGGGAATACTGCAAGTACATGTGCTCTCCTTTATATGTTGCAAAAAAAACATCTCTATAAGAATGCACTAAATTGTTACAATTCAGAATAGTAACAAATTGGCTAAATATTACAATCTGCCCTGAGGTGACTTGATGTGGGTCTGTCTCTCAGTCCTAGAGTAATAATGATGTCCACTGAGTTCATGAAATTATTCTCTGGAAGCACAGAAATTGTCGCAGAAAAAAAAAAAATAATCTGCAATTTATGGCACAAAATTGTATAACCGATTTCCCTAACAGGCTTGATAACAGATTATCTTTCTTTCAAGCCTGTTTGCACCCTCATTTGAGCTTATAAGAGTACCTTGCACTAAGTGGACACACTATTAACACAGCAAAAAGCTTTACCAACTGAGATTCTGGGAAAAAAATACTGTACACAGCTCTTTCAATGCCATCAGAACCTGCAGTCTAGTAAGGAGGAGAATGGCAGGAAAGGGAAATGGGATGTGCACAGTACCTCTCACCTGAGAATAAAATAAGGAGTACGTGTATCTGAACAAGGTAAGAGGAGCACACTGAGCCCAAAGCGTGACAGAGGTGATGTGAAGGCTGATGGCAATTCCTGAGGCAGAGGTAGCTGGCAGATGAGCAATACATAAGGAGACTACAAGGGGAATGGTTGGATATAAGGAGCTCTCAATGTGTGCAATGAGCATGCCTGCAGAAGCAATGAAGCAGGCCACCTCCTCAAAGACTAGGACACCATCTTTCACTGGCCACTGAAGGAGAAGGGGGAGCAAACATGTAATCCACAGCAAGGTCTTTGCAAATCTCCTTTCTTTGCTAGTGTCTCAAATGCTTACGTTCTCAAATGCTCACATTCTCAAATGCTCACAATATCCTAGCAATTAGTTTCCCCTTAAAGGTATCAAATCTTGGGGGAAAATAGGGATAGATGGGGAATTCTGTAATCAAACACTAGTGTGCACTGAGATTACATTTCTTAGTGCCATGAAGTCTAGTTTAAGACAAAGGGCAGATCAGTAACAACGCTCAGTAGTCAAGGTCTCTACAGATAGGATCCCACTGTGGCAACATCTTTTCCTTATGATATCTGGAGTCAATAGTAAAACCCTCCACGGGAAACTGTGCAAAATCTGGATCAAACATGAATTATGCATGAGAATTTCAGTTCCTGTGCAATACATAGACTGCTGTTGCTTATGTTCAAAGACTTCTTTTGTCAGAAAACTGATGTAATTGCACTTCTCTAAAACTTTTTCCTTCAACTCTAAAAAAACCCAAAAACCAACTATGTGTTTTCTCTGTGAGACAACAGATCGGGACTAGTTGTAGGGCCTTAAAATTACACCAGGGATAGGACACTGTAGTTTGTACCATGAGACAGCAAGGAAATGGGAACACAATACATTTCTTTATGGTTGATCTCACCTACTTACTTTACAGTAAAAACTACAGGCACCTTATCTGCAGTGTGGCTTTCTGGCTAGATACCTCATGTCTACACATTATCCCATAGCAAGCATCTTCTGCTTGTGCAGAAAACAGTGAACATGTAAAGTGTACATGCTTCTTGAGCTACATTTCTTAGAGAAGTTATCATCTCAAATGCAAAGAACACACTGATATTTTTGTCATCACCCAACATAAAAGGAGACTGCAGGCACAGAGCTGTACCTGTTGATTTTGGTAGGCTGTCACTGTGGTGAACACAGTCTCAGGGAAGTTGAAGGTTTTCACCCCATCTCCTGAAGGAACTGGCTTTGTAGGAGAAAGATCACTGCTGAAATCCTTGCGGATGACATGAACACGGGGCTGGTACTTATGCATTGAATGCAAGATTATCTGAAGAGAAAAACAAAAAAGGAGAAGGAAAAGGATTTTTTTTTTTTTCAAATATTCTACACAACATCCAAATGTACAAGGAAGCAGGGATGGAACAAGGGCTAATATGAAGAAAATTACTCTTTTCTTGCAAGTATGCATGAGATGAAGTTTGTGCTATGTACAGAGAGAAAGGGGCTTTATTGGTTTATAGGGTCAGGTAACATTTTGAGGAGAAGCACTGAAGTGGGGAAAAAAAAGCTCCACAACTCTGGAGAGTAGCTACAGACTCATGTGACCAGCAGGACACAGGAGCATCAAAGTGGTAGCAGCACCCTTTTGAGTTTGAAAGGAGTAAGGCTCGGGCAGCAAGCACCAGGATTAGCTTCTAACTTACATGGCCTTGATCATCAAGCTCGTTGTTGGTCAGCTTGAGCTTGTCAAAACTGACCACCTGCCTCATCCAGGTGTCTCCAGAAGCCAGTGAGTCAGGGTGGATGTAAACCCTCGGGGGCACTGGGGAGTCAGCATTGCCAGCCACCATCCACTTGGAGCTGTGATACACATACCTGAAAGAGGAAGAGGACATGGCTAAGGGAAGTTGTCACTCACTTACTGGAGGAACATTTCCAGGCCACCCCCTCCCCTGCCACCCTACCGCACGCACCCCAAGCTCTCATTTGCAGTCAGGGGAGACTATGCTTTATTGCAACCTCCTACCTTCTAAATGAAAGCCAGATTACCCCTGAGCCACTTGTTCAGACTTGATTCCTTATTAAAAACACCTTTGCAGTTTTTTTTCCTGTAAAACTCTGCCACATGTGCCTTCTCAGCTCCTTAACCCTCTCTGAGCCAGAGTGAGAGGCTAGAAAATATGTGTACATAGAGTCCTCTCTGAAAATATTAATAAATGCTCTGTCATTTCTGGAAATCTGTGCTGGCTGCCATGCCAGACTTTGCAAAACACGTGTCTTCACCTAGAAAGGGCAAAATCCAACAGATACCAGTTGAACAATTGATATAACAGCACTTGTGGTTTGAAATGTTGCAAAATGGGAAATTCTATATAGTATTACAAATGTTGAGATTAGAGGAAAAAATAATTTTTGTGTTCTTGAACTTTTGTGTTCCTGGCCTATCCATTTTATATATGCCATAAATTTCTCTACTGCAGCTTTGCCTAGACACTTTGTTCTTTCTGCCCTGAGGCTCCTTTAACCTAAGACTTTTCAAAAACAGTCCTACTAACACTTCTGAGTTCCACCCTATGCTGCCCTTCACTGGGTCCCTACTCAGCTCTGCTAAACTATTTCAGTCTCCTTACCTACCAACAGTGACTCATTTCCTGTATTTTCACACGAAATAAAAAAATTCCTTTCACTGCTAGTTTGCTGTATGTGGCTGCCCAAGCTCACAAGGACAGAAACAAAATCTAAGACAATATAATTATTTTTGATGTTAATGCTGTCAGAACCACACTCAAAGAAAGGGGAAAAACATCTAGCTAAGTATCAGACACAACTTTGATGCTTCCCAGGAAAAGCATTTTCCTGAGAAACACTCTGCACAACATAAGAGCAAAAATGTAATATTTAGCATTGGAAGCAGAGGATCAATTCTTGAATCCTTGAGATGTCATGCAGTCAAGAGTCTTTGGGGAAAAGACTTGCTCTCAGGGGTCTTTTAATGAGTACAGATAAATCACCTCTGTCTAGATAGTTTTCTGGGATGCAGAGGACCATGAGTTTTCAAGAACAATTTTTAGGATCAGAAGCCCATTAATATAAGAGAAATCTCTTCTTTCTATCTTTCAGCTCAGCGGTGGAGATTCACCAGAGGGTTTCTCAATGGCTCCACATTGTAGGTCAGGACCCATATCCCCTGTGTTTGCTGTGATGGATAGTGAATACTTTTAAAACAAAAATCACTCCGTTCAGTTCATGACAGACCTGAGGTGTCCATCTTAGTTCAGCTGCTACTTGCCCTTGCTGAAGTAGTTTTAGAGGCTCCAGACTCCCCACTGATAACTCCAGTTAGTTCCCTCAAACAGTCATTGCTAATCATGTCAATTTTGAAATGCATGCTAGGGATCTCCCTGATTAAAAACTACTATTTGGGGAAAAAAAAGCAAGATTTCAATCCAAAAATGCAAGAGAGTATATTAAACCTCTGCTCTTGTGTCTCATGATTCCGGTCGAGTCGACTATGTTGCTGTAAATCAACATGGTCTCCTCCAGCTTATGTTTGCAATGGTGTATAATGGCATGAGTCTTTCCTAGGTTGTCATGGACAGTAAGTTACCACAAGGTTCCTACCTCTGCACCTAAAAAGCTTACCTGTATCTCTTGTTATCCACAGGTACAATGTCCATGGCAATATAATACTGCTGGTGGGGATCCAAGCCTGTAATTTTCACTCTCATGGCTGGAAACATTCTCCTAGGAAAAGAAGAGTAGAAATAAAGAAGAAAATGGTGAATAAGGAAGCTGAGGAGGCTCCTTAGACCTCTTGCTGACACCAGGAGCACACTTTTACACAGCCCAGTTCTTGGCATGACTCCTCTGGGCTTGGTGCAGGTAGCAAAGAGTATACTGGCATTAGTTTGAATCTTCGATTTTTTCCCACTTAAGAAGGGAAAGAAAGGTAGAAGGATAACAACCTGTGAGTAACAATAAAACACTCCCACTAGAGCACTCTGTCTGTTGCCAGCTCCTAGCAGACAGTTCTGCTGTGCTTCCCACTAATTGTCCCCTGTAGGCATTTCTAGGATGGGCAATGTACCTTCTTCTTGCTGTTTTTCCCATTAACCATCCATCTATAATTATTCTCTCATATTCCATTAAATGCATTATCACTTTAGTTTTCTTTTTTGAGAAAATCACATTTCAGTATAGAGTCTGATAGTGCTGGAGTAATATTTAAAGCAAATCCATCATCCTGAAGGATGCTCTCATTCATGTTTATAGTTATTTAAGAAAAAAATGTCCCTCAAATCAATCTGCTTATTAGGCATATATTTCACATTTAATAAAAACACTGGCATTATCGTCATGGTTTCCTTGAAGTCCTGGTATTATTTTGTGCAATCTTTTTAATAAGTGTTGTCTTTTCTATGTCATATGATCCGTATCTGTCTTAAGCATTTTGTCCTGCTAGGCAAGTTATGAAACTCTACACCAGCAAGAATCAATTTCCAGCCTTGCTTTTCTTGTCTGAGCGCAAGTTTAGCTCTGCTGTGCACTGTCACTGTTATGGAGATGTTTGTAGCTAGGCAATTATTTCAGAAGAGAACAGCTCAGAATAATTTTAACTTCAAACCATGTCAGTATTAGTGTGGCTATGGCATAATTTCTTCTTCTTAAAAATTTTCTGGTTGCCAGTAGTCCAATTGCCATTCTACACCTCCCTCAAACAGCGTGCTGAGTGAATTGTTTATGCCATATTATATTTGCAACTAATGTGGTATTTTAACATCTAATAAAATCTGAGGAGCAAACCGGGTGAAGTGCAAAAGGAAACAAGCAGCAGAGCAGAGCACTGAAAGAAATCCTGCGTTGTTTCACTGACCGTTAACTCAAACCTGAGCTCTTCTTGAATGGCTTCTCAGTCCTTATCTGAGAAAACCTTGAGCCGAGATCCTACAGGATGGTGTTACTTGATTGACTTCTGCTCAGAAGATATAGTGCTTTGGTAGGAGAAACTCTGAAAGTACTGAATGCTCACACGAAATTATGTTCTGCTCCTCTGACAAGTAGATATATACTTATGGAATGAGGGTAGTTTGGGTAGAAGGAGGATATTAAAGGGGGAATTTAAAATCACAATGCCAAAATAATGGAAAAGCGTACAATAAATGTTTGTGCACTGTCTCTAGGCGCCATCCCTAGAAACCATTGTGACACTTTCCTTTCTATTTAGTGAGGAGCAGTGAAATGTCAGAAAAGAAGATGTAGATCTCCTCCCAACATTTCTGTTTCTCAAACTATTACCAATAGATACAGCCTGGAGGAGGAAGAAAACAAGAAAGTTTACGTCAACATCTCCAAACTTGTCTCTAAAACCTTGCATTGGAGGGACGAGACCATAAGAATCTGTTTTATTCTTTCCCATCCAAGCCACATATACCCATTTGCAGAAGAGGGTGGGAAGGGAGAGGTTATTGCTCAGCCTTCACCCTATCCACAGCTCTTTCATTTCAGGCCACTGAGAAGGAAGATTCTGATTTATTAGTAACTACATCTGCCTCAGAAAAGGGCATTTATCATGGCGGGGAGGGAGAGCACCACACCACAGCTGCTGGAGCACAGGTAACACAAATTATGAGAGACATGGAATTGTCAGAAAAATTGTCTGTAGAAAACCTTCAGGAAAGAGCATGTTTGTGCAGCTGATGGTGTGAGTTTGCTAGTTGAAAGATTTGAGGAGAAAAAAAAAGGAATAATGGATTAGTCTTTGGTGGCTTGAGGGCATTACCTTGTTTCTACCACAATGGCTTATTAAATCTGCCAAGCCAAATGGGTACAGGATGTGGCATTTTACAATCCAGCACTCCTTAATTGGAGAGAGGTGGCTTGGGAGCAGCTTAAGAGATAGGTCACATTTCAGAGAGTTGCTGAGAAACCCAGGATTAAAGCTGAGTCAATTTGAGTGCACACTGTATTGGCAAAATTGAACTCTGTGTGCCCCAAAAATCTCTCTCCAAATCTGCAGCCCCGTGTAAAGTTGCAGTATAGCCTGTTTGCTTATGAAATACCTTGTAAAAGATTGCCACAAACCATTCAACAGGCTTAGAGGCTAATCTCTCCAATGATCAGAGAGAGCTCAGCTGATCCCGCTGCTTTCTCTAAGGTTTAAGCGTACTTTTAAAGTTTTGTAAATTATTACTCTTTTTCTTTTTCTGTGGGTGTAAAAGTAACTCAGGTTTCTTTGCCATAGGGATGTGGCCTGGAACTGTCACAGCAGGTCTCCAGCAGCACTGCCACATGGAGAGGGGAAAACAGAAAAGGCAGAGGCAAACAGTGGTGACTCAGAGATATACTCAGGTGTAACTCTGGTTAAGTCCCTGTGCTCTGTGTTTTCTCTTGGCTGGCTCTTGGCCCCCCAGAGGCACCAGTCCTATAGAAAACAGGAGGCTCAAAGGTTTGGAAGGGATTCAAGCTGTTTGAATATGGTTGTATTAATAAACAGTCAAGAACCTTTCATCTAGAAAGACATCAGCTAGCTTTACAGTAAAACGCTACAGACCTGAAGACCGTCTGTTTTCATAGGGAATACATGATGACATCTGATATATTTTAGGAGGAGGTTTTACATCAGCAGCAGTTTGGGATGATCAAGTTATTTATATGTCAGCTTTACCACTCAGCAGGAAAACAGTCTTCCTAAACTTAGACTGTGAACTTAGACACAATACCCTTTTAGGGGGAATATAATGTGATATGAAATAAGTTATTACAATTAATTTAAATCCATTTAGACTTGTTTTAAAAAACATTTTTGTAACAACCATGTGCCTCAGTCTACTCAATTCTTGTCACCTTTTATAATGAGAATGAGGTTTATGAAACTCTGAATATGAAGGAAATTAATGATGTATAATGATCTCTAAAACTTGATTAAAACAGTATTTGCCAGCACATTAGTGTACTGGTGTTAAGAACCATGTTTGGGAACTCTCAGAATACAAAGAAGCAGTTGGATTGTGGAAGCCAGCATTATTTTTTTGTTGTTTAAAATTTTCATTTAATACAAAAATATAGCTCAATTTTCCTTTGTGAAAACTGTTCAAAGAAGGAGGATCTCCAAACTGGATTTTTTTTTTTTTCCAATAGCATAAAGCTTCAGGTTTTAATCCTTAGGAGTCTCAAAGTGCCAGCTCTCATCCCTGCCCCTTGAACCAGCACACATGAAGCTTGGTCACGTTGGATCTGTCTTCAAAGTTGACCTGCTCTGAGTGGAGGCATGGGCCAGATGACCTCCACAGATCCCTTCCAAAATTAATTCATTCTCTGTTTCACAGCTTAGTTTTAGAGAGGGCAATTCCCCATTAGGAGATAAGAAGTTAAAAGGTACCTGGCAGGTTGTCTCAAAATACAAATGCAATTCCTTGAAGCTCTTCAGACATTGGAAATACTCCTGTACAGACAACTTAGTGAGAAGTCAGATGAGAGTTTAAAAGGACTGACACTGTACAGTTTTCATGACTGTTTAGTGTAATGGTTTATACATTGTGTAAACAACAAAATTAAAATAAGATTAGATTTGCTAAAGGGTAACACCTGCTAGATGCAAACCCTAAAATGAAGGGATGTACTCTTCAGAAAAAAGACTATTTGTCTATTGACAGTAACAGACAAAGTAGTCATTTCCCAGTCATAAAAAAAATTCTGAATGAGAAACTGCAAAATAATCTGATTTAGGTTTGTAGATCAAGTGTGCACGGTATTTATGATGTGCATGAGTTTACAGAGTAGTCGGAAGTTACCGTTGCTATAAAAGGAAGGGAAGGGAAGGGAAGGGAAGGGAAGGGAAGGATGCCTTTGTGTTTCCCTCTGCAGTGTGGGTTCGTGTAGAGATGTTTGTGTTGAGAGGAAAGGCTGAGGTTAGGGTTTGGGAGCAAAAGGATATATTGTTTATGAGGGAGAGGGAGTTCAGCAGATCTTCTCAGTAGCTCCCAAAGGGGACATTTTTCTGGAAGCTGGAGAAAGCCCTACTGGGCCAGGACCTCTGGGAGAATGTTTAGTAGCTGTAGCCTGCCAGCCTTCACTCTGAGAAACTTTCTCCACAGGCCCCTTCAGCATCAACAGAGTTTTGCAATGAAATCCCTGCTGCTGTCTCTAACTGAAGAGTGTTGTGGGGCCCTTCCTTCCTTACACTGGGAATTAAAAAATCATTTGGTAATGTAAACAGCCCCGAATACACATTTCAAACAACTCAGATTCATGGTTTCAGGGAGGCAAAGAAACTCCAGACAAAATACCATTTAGCCTATCACGAGGCACAGAGGAGTCAGGAGAGGACAAGGTTACCTGTTCCACTCACTGATGGCTTTTTCCACTCTTATTACTGAGCCTGGCCTCAGCACTTAGGTTTGAACCATCCCACAGTGCAGCTATGATAACTACTATACGATGAGATTAGATCATTTCCCTCATTGCTGAGATGACTGCTCCTACTGTTGTTAAGTCCATGTACTCCATGTATCATAAAAGAATTAATTATATTTAATTGAACAGGTAAGCAGGACAACAAAGTCAGAAGCAAAGAACTTGGTTCTGCCAGTGTCATATTTAATGATGCTGGACAGGTCATTAATCTGTTTAGGTCTCAATTTCACTCCCTGTGAAAAGAAGATAATAATAATTTTCTCTGCGTCTGCTTTGACATCTCCAAAGAAAATATGTTGCATAAGAGCAAGAGAGTCCAGCGGAGGGC